GACCTTGGGCAGCGCCCCTGCTGCCATACGGGGACTGTCCCTACTCTGCCCAGCTGCCAGCACTGTTGGAAGGATCCTACAAAATCCTGAATCGGAAGTTTCTTTGCAACCTGAAACTCACACTGCCACAGTCGGAAACGGTGCTGAGCATTGCTCCTCTTTCACCCGCTCCTGCTGTGGACACAGACACCCCTGAAACAGGTGGCCCAGCAGCTGCAGCTGGGCTGGGGCACAGCTGAGGGAGTTCAGCAGACTCTGGCCAGGGACAAGAGGATAAAATGTCACGTGCCCATTCTCATCTAAGTGCCTGTTGCCACCTTCCCAGGTCTGGCTCCACCCGTCACCGCTCCTCTTTGCTGCAGCCCCGCCGGCCCCGCCTCTGGGCCACAGACCTGCGCAGGCCTGCCAGCTCCTCCCCCAGCCCAAATCCTTCTGCGCCTCCCATGCTTCACACCATGAACCAGTCTCCTTTCGCAATGATAACCAATGCCACTTATTAAGTTCCTGTGCTAAGCACTGGGTTACAGTTGAATCTCACTAATTCTTCCCTAAACGACCACTGGTTCATTCATGGACACCCCACTCCCCCCCCATCCTGAGTAGGCTCTTCACCCTGCCCTGTCTTTACCCACCATCCTGGAGCTCCTGTCTCCATTGCTCAAGAGCAGCACCAGGCTCTGCCCCAGCCTGGCTGTGCAGGAGCCTCCCTGCTGTCTCACCTGACCTCTGCAGGTGGGCCACTGCTGACTGCATCATAGCCTCACCTCAGGAAGCCCAGCTACCTGGAACATTCTGCCCCCCTCCACTGGGTGCCGAGAACCCAAATCCAAGCCTCCAGCAATACCAATGCTGCAGACCCTGGGGCGTGAGGGACCTGCCTGCCCAGCCCGTTAGGAGGCCACTGAGTCTCCTGCTTTCCAGGAAGGAGACCTAGGGCCTCACTGAACTGGACTGGAAAGCTGAGGGACAGCAGGACAGAGCTGCTGTGGTCTTTGTTCCTTTCCTTGAATGCAATGCACATTCCCCACTTAATGGCAATTTTTTCATTTCAAAAGGATTCCAGCTGCTTAAATTCAAGGTGAAGAATAGGCCCCAGTCAAGAAGCATCTGAGGCCTTTCAGTTCCATCGGCTTGCGAGGGATGCATTTTAGATGTTTACCTCCTGATGCTTGTCAGCGTGGAGAGAAGCTTCCTCCTACTCTACCTTTCTCAGCACTCAGCGGCTATTGGCACAGGGATTGTCACTGTCCTTCTGAATTACTTGGCTTTCACAGAAACCCACCTGACTGCCTAGCTCTCTCCCTGCTTCCTCCTTCCCACCCCTTGGCCCACACCCACCTGGGCACAGGACAGACTGATGCTGGCCCAGGGCCCACCAGAACCACCTCTGTTCCTTCAGATGCCCCAGTACACCCAGCAGCTTCAAAGGCAAACCACTGGGCTCACATAGCTCGTAGCTCACACCCTCAGAGCTGTGCTTCCACCTGCCACTCATTCATTCATTCATCCATTCACCCAGGTGGTCACCCAGTCAGCCAACATGAGGTCTGTGGTGCTGTGAGAGACTATGGGTGGTTCAAAGAAATACAGCACACGGTCTTCATACAAATTGGTTGAAGCTATGAGTACACAATACAAAAGGAAGGAAGTAAACTCTGAATTTGGAGGGTGGGGGCATTGTGAAGGCTCAGAGAAAGAAGAGATCAGCTAGGAATGAGGGTCAACCCCAGAGGGAGGGAGCAGTCAAGGAAGGCTTCCTACAGGAGGAAGCATTTTGGTTGGGGCAGGGTGTCCCCGAGTGCAGGGTGCAAACATGGGGAGTGGCCTGAGCAAAGGTATGGAGGCAGGAGCCCCTGGTGGGCACAGAGGCACTGTCCTGTGCCCACTGCAGCTCTGCCTCCGGGGCCTCGGGGCTTGTGCGTGCATGTGTACTCATGGGGTGGGCTGCTCCCTGTGCATGTCCACTGACGGTCACTGCTTTGGTGGCCTTGATCAGCTAAGGGAGGCATTGTCCCCACACAGCCAGTCACCAATGTCTTGCCCTTTTCCATCAGGCCCTGGGCCTGGAGGAAATTCTTTTATCCTCTCCTCCGTCACTCAGGCTCCCCACCCTCACTTTCGAGGGACCCTATTTCTGATGGCACCCATTTCCCCTCCAACTTTCTTAGTCACTGCCCTCTACAGGTGGGTGCCCCTCTACCCCTGAAGGGAGGCTCCAGCACTGTCTCATTTCTCACTGTCCCTGGCCTGTCTCCACCTCCTCAACATCACCTATGCTAGGACCACCACTCTTTCTGTCCTAGAACAACATCCCGCCAGCAAGCCCTCCCCACTGTGTGGGTGGGAGCACCTGGTGTGTCCCTGACCGTGGTCTGGGGCCAAGCCTCTGGAGATGGGCCTGCTGGGTTTAGACCCTGGTACTGCCCCTTCCCAGCTCTGTCTGAGGTCCAGTCACTTCCTTCTGTAGGAACTTCACTTATTGTTCCTACTGAACACCTTTCCCTGCCTGATAACCAGCACCTTGCTTCTCCTTTGGGGGAGTCCTCCTCTCATCTTTCAGGTCTCATGGATCAGTGGGGCTGCCCAGCCCTCTGTTTGGTTTGGGGACAGGCATGTGACCCAGGTGGGACAAACCTTGGGACTTTTAATGGTTGGAAAGGACCAGTCTATTCCCACTGGGAAAATGCAAATCTGGCACCAGCTAGGGTGATCTTTGTCACCACAAGGAGAGTCTATTTACACACAAAACCAGCACAGAAAAAAGTAGAGAAAGGGGACAGGTCCCTGACAGTGTTGTTTGAATGCCTGGATACAGCAACACCTGAAGCCATCCCCTGAGTTTTTGGTTTGTGAACCAGTGAAGCCTCCCTTCTTTCTTGGCTCAAGCTAGTTTGAGTTTTTTTGTTGTTGTTGTTGTTGTTGCTTGCCACTATCAATCTTGATTAAAGAGTAACTTAACTTGTGAATTTGATGAGAGCATTAAACAAAATGACACAGAAACGGTACCCAGCGTACAGTGGGTACCACCTGGTGAACAGTGGCTTTTGAGTCTGCCTTCTTTCTCAAAGGTCAAATTGCCATAAGGTGTAGTTCTATACTAGTAGAAAACTACTTTTTTTTTTCTTTCTACCACTTTGAACAACCTGCCTTTGTGAAATCTCTGCCCTCCTTGGCTTTCTGAACCACAGCTCTGAGTCCTTCCTCAATTTCCAGGTTTTCTTCCCCCTGCCTCAGGGCTGAGACAGGACAGGGGATTCCAAGATCTGGAGGGGGTAACTTCTCTGCATTCTGTGCTCATACTCCAGGACAATCAGAATGAACCAAAACCAATCAAATGCAGACTGCAAACTTACTTCAAATTTGTTCCTCCCAAGCACACCCTGTACTCAGAAAAGTCCACACTGCCATCTAGTGGTCATATGCAGCAATACCATGAGTAACGGAGCCCTCTGCTGAGAATCCCTCTTGGGACAGTCATTAAAGGGCTGTAAAATCACCAGGTCCAAACTCTTCACTCCTTAAGTAACAAGCATGAGGATGCGTGAATTAACCATGAGTTGAGAGTCCTGTCCCACGGGGTGTCATTACACTCTTCTCTCAATGACTGGGCTCCTGCCCTGCTTCTTCAGCCCTCCACCTCTGGTCCTATGAGTTAGAACCACCGTGGCCTGCATTTCCTCCACTTCTCCCACCTGCCCACAGTGTGACCCAGGCCACGGGTGTCCAGAGAGGAAGGCTGATGTGTGTGTGTGAGTGTGCATGTGTGTACAAAGGGTTGGAAGGGTGGAGGGAGAAGAGACCCAGGAAGCCTCCTTGTTAGTTGCATGCTCAGTCTCCCAGAGGAAAGGATTTTTGTCACATTTGCAAACACAATAGCCTGTCAAAGCTTCATGTTCTCATCCTCATACATTGTGAGATATATCACAGTCTCTTGGTTCCCTGATAGTGAAGAACAGTTTAAGAAAGGAAGAAAAATCTATCCCTCTACCTCCAGGTAATCCGTGTGACCCCTGCCTCCAAGCTGACAGTAGGGAAGAGCCCACTGTGGCCTCTCCCTGCCACTATGCACAGAGGACGCCTTGGTGTACATGTGGTCACATCCTGATCATGACCCTCCACCCATTCACGGGCCTGAGTCTTGGAAACACCACAGTCTTTGTTCCTGGCTTGACAGTGGCACCTTCTGCTAAAACAAAGCAGAAAGCAAAGGTCCCTTTTCACTCCGGATGCTTTGGGGGCTCATTCTGGCCCAGGAATCAAGGAAGAAGGAACAGTGACCATGACACTGGACCAACTCCCCCAAGACATGGCCCGGACCCCAGAAACAGTGGCCACAGCCCCGCTGCCCAGTTCTACGGCCCTTCCCCAAACCAAGGGAACCTTTCAGATCAATTCAGTACTGTTCACTTCCCAGTAAAAGAAATAGTTATTTCCAATTCCTAAAATGCTTCAGTCTTCTATTGTAGGCAAGTTTGGTGGAACTTTTGAGTGCATTTATTGCGATGACCGAGTCAAGACACACTGGCTTGTCCAGCCTACAGGAGAGAGGCTGCCCTCTCTCTGCAAACTAGCTCCTCCCCATTCAGAAGGTCATTCTAAAAGCCCAGCCACCTTGCGCCTTGAGAAAGAACTCTCCACAAGCCCCTTTCTTGTTTTCTCTGCAGACTCCAAATCATGCACCAACTAGTCCCCATTATGACCGAGGGGCCGGACTAGGGGGCTCAGGGATGTAGAAGCAGGGAAAGGCCCAGGCAGAGTGGCCCCTGAGCTCCGATAAGGCTCTCCCAGTCTTCAGCCTTCCCACCCACCTGACCTCCTCCAAGGCTGTGGGGCTGCTCTGAGGAAGGCACAAGCCTATGGCAACAGCCATCTGTTGCCACCAGACCCAGCCCAGATGGCTCTGCATACAACTCCTAGTCACTGAGATGAGCAAGCGCAGAGGCAAATGGAGACCTGCCAGCCAAACCTGCTCACCCTGCAGGCCAGGCCTGCTCACTTACCTCCGAAGCCCCTGGGTACTTGACCAGTGGTGGCGGCCAGGTGGTGATCTTCTCCCGGTAGTTGTTGCAGTTGGGAACTACCTTGCAGCTGATGTTCTGCAGCTCTGTGTAGGAAACTTCAAGGTTGCCCCTATAGAAAGAGGGAGGTGGTTGGCCCACGTCAGCATTTTAGGGAGCCTAGGGTCTATAAGACTTTAGTCTAGCGCTGGTGGGGATGTAAATTCAAGTGGAACTGAATCCTAGACCTGCCACTAACTGGTTGTGTGACCTTTGTGGCCTAAGAGTTACATGATCCCTTGGTGCCTCTGTTTACTCACCTGTAAAATGGGGACACTACTAGTGTCTACTTAGGGGCTTGGTGCAAGGAGTAAAGGAAGTGATGGAGGCGGAGCGGTCGGAAAGTGTCCCCTAAGGTCAGTGTCCACGTCTCAGAAAGAACACATATATCTACAGGCAGACTTGGTCAGTGCCTTTAAAGTAGGATTGGGTTTATAAAAACAGCCTTTCAACATTGCTTTTCAGGGGCATTCTTATTACATAAAGAAAAGTCTAGCCAATCAGCACAGCCTCCTTCACGGGCACAGACTGTTCTCCTCCCTACACAAGTAAGATCCTCTCGATGTTTGGAAACCCCGCCACTCAAGTAATCCACTTTGGGGGTTAAGTGTTGTCAGTACCTGAGGCTCTTGACCTGCTATTCACTGAACTTTCAAAATGCAAACATCTCTCAGGCGGTACAACACTTAGTCACTAAGACTGAAGTGTGCATTTATTTATCTACTTTCTCCCCGAGAAGGGTCTGAACAGCGTGAGCGCTTGAGAATCGGGCTCTGCAGGAGGGCTGATCCCACAATGCCACCAGGGTGAGCTTGTGTTTGAAACTCAGGGATGTAACCCAGGCTTTCCCATAGATATTTTACAAAAGAAAGAGTGAAAAAGCTTTGTGCCATTTTTTTTTTACATGCTCCTTGCTCCTTGCCCACTGTTATTTTTTATCACGAAGACCTGGGGTCTCTGTAGGGTTTGTCAACTGATGGCACTGGTGCCAATTCAACACCAATGAGAATCCCCAGTTTGGGTTATGGCAAAAGAGGAGACTTTATTCAGTGCAAGCAGTTTGATTGTGATACCACATGGCTGTGGAATGGCCCAATAGTGTTACAGCTCAATGATGAAAGAGCATGGCTGTGAGGCTCCTTGGGTGTGAAGCTGCATGGCCTCTCTCCAGCCAGCCAGCTCTGCTTTGCTCAGGTGACACACCTTCAGCTCCAGCCAGGGGTAACAGTCTTCAGTGAAAAGGGAGAGTGTGCCCTCTGACCTCAGGGGAGCTGACTTGTATAGAGAAGAAGTCCTGCCCCTGCCCAGTCCAAGATAGATCTGTTCTCATGCAAATGAGGGCTCCAGATCCCATAATCTGATTGGCCCAAAAAGCATTGTCCTGACCTATCAGAATAGGCCTGCTTTGGTTGATTGGTGAAGATGCTAATGAGTATGTAGCTGTGAAGCTCCACCTGGACAGGAAAAGTCTCAGTCCTCTCAACTGAAATAGGACTCAGGGACTGCCTTTAGAAGGGCTGGCTCAGCAGGCAAACACACAGTGCAGGCTGGCAGCCTGGTGCAGAGACTTCTCCCTGAGGTGTGGCTTTCAGGCTCGTGTGAGAGGCTCCAGTTTAGCACCAGCTGCTAGGCTCTGTGTATACATTTTAGCCCAGTTGGCCACCTGGGGCCCTGGTGGGGTACATTCATTCTGGGATGGACAGTCATTTGGTTAAGATGATTCACTGAAAGGGTGTGGATCCTTGGCCTTTCCAAATCACCCAGCATGGCTGAGCAGCTCCACAGCCCGCCACTGGCCACACAGACCTGCCCATGGTTCCCTGCTGGGGGTGACATGTGAAGGGGACCCAGTAAAAACGTAATTTGGGGAAGTAGATCTAGATGGGGAGCTCTCCAAGTCAGAACCTGGGAGAAAGGCAAGGACAGCTTCTTGGTGAGGAGTCCCACATTCCCCCTCCTGACCCCACCCTTCCAGAGGCTTCTGAGGCTCCATCTTAGGCAAAGGTGGCTGAAGCCTGCCACATTCATCAGACCCAAGATGTTCCTCTGGCCAGCACCCCGATGCCAGGACCCGGGCTGACTGAGGCAGAACAAGTCACCAATGCCACCTGGCTGAACCACTGGCTTGCTGAGCAAACTTGTTTCTTTTAACTCATCACAAGTTCACAGTCATTGCTTTCAGATGGCATGGTTTTCATAGCTTCTGAAGAACTTTCTTAGAACAGGTTTTCACTTATCTTCACAGCAGCCTTTGAAGGATCCCTTGGTTGGTTTGTACCACGGCTCCCTGCCACTGCAGCTAGTGAGATCTGAGGCCAAGAGGGGGCCCTCTGCCGGCAGAGGGATGGAGACTCGTCACTCCCCACAGACCTGGGAAAAGCCTAGGGTCAGGGAAGAGGGAGATGGGGGGCTCGGGGGTGGGGTGGGGGGGCCTTCTCCAGGGAACAGATAGGTCTTCTGTTTTTATGAGGGTAGAGCTGCTGCACGTGCTAAAACAGTGAAGTGAAATCAACAAATTGACACTTGGTGAGTGGGCCCAGAACCACTGAGTGTGCCCTGGCAGGGTGAATGCCGGGGGACTGGGGTCTGGGCCCCCAGCCCCAGACACACCCACGGGCACGCCAGCCTGGTGTGTGAAACCCTGACTTGGCTCACACAGCAGGACAAGCCTCTGGGTGAGCGGGCCTCTGCCCTGATGAGCAGCTTTCCCAAGGCTTGGATCAGGTCCCAGAGGGCCAAGCTGACTTGCAAATGGCGCCAGGTTGGTAACGAGCGATTCAGGGGATCACACCAGCCTACAGGAAGATCTGGACAAGCCTGCGATGAACTGAACCAAAACCTAAATTCAGTAAAAGCACACTCTAAAACTTGCATTCACGTTAAAAAAATTTGAAGGTGCCATTTTCCTGCCCTAAGCGCCCCTTCCACTCATGGTGCTTATGTGAGACACGTTCTCAACTCCATCCCAAGGCCCAGGAGGCTCCTCACCTCCTGGTGGGGCTGTGGCACATCGGAGAGAGTGTGGGGAGAGGAGCGGGACTCTGCTCCCATCCCGGCTGGGCTGTGATCTGCCATTGCAGTGGAGACAGAGCGGGGGGGGCAGGGGGGCGGGGCCGGGAGGAAATGTTACTTACTGGGCCATCCAAAAAGACCAGGCACACCGCATACTATTATTCCATTTCCTACAAGGATGTCTTGAAGCGGCTACCACCATTGTTCTCATTGCCCAGAGGAGTAAACTGAGGCCCAGAGAAAGCTAAGGAACTAGCACAGAGTCTCATCACGGGTGAGCTGAGGGGGGCAGAGAGACACGGGCGTGACACAGTGTCCAAAGGGCCCCCGGTGATCCCTGTCTCCTTGTGTTATCCTCTCCCCTTGAGTGTGGGCTGGATTCAGTGACTTGCTGCTAATAAAGAGAATAGGATGGAAGTGGTAGGCTGTCCTTTCCAAAAGCATAAGGAGATGACGACTTCTGCCTGAAGGCCCGCTTCCACATCCTCTCCCTCTCAAAGCTCTGCTCTGGGGGCACCAGCTGCTCTGTCGCAAACAGCTCCATGGAGAGGCTGCATGGCACGGTGACTGAGGCTGTCACAGCCACATGAGTAAGCTCAGCAGCAGAGCACCCCACTGGCCCATCCTTCAGATGAGACTGCAGCCCCAGCTGCCGGCTTCACTGCCACCGCCTGAGAGACCTGGCCGGAGCTGGCCAGCTGCGCCCTGCCTGGGTAAGAGGGAGGCAAGGAGTGTGTTCAGCTGCTTTGTGTCTGGGGAACTTGTTGTGCAGCAGCAGAGACCGGCTTCAGCGGCCTTGGAAGATTCTCAGCTTCCAAGGGAGGCTCTTAGCTTCTCCGGGCTTCTGTTTGACTCCGGCATGGTGAGAATTGGAATTAGAGAAAAACTGCTCTCCAGCTGCACTCGTGGGAACGGCCCTGCATCCTGGCTGCCGGAAGCAAGGGTGGAGAAGAGGCTTCTTTCACAGAGCAGGAGGGGGACCGGCAGGTGCCCCACCCTCCTGCGTGGCTCTCAGTGTGGCAGTGTGGGGCCCCACACTCAGAAAAGGGCTATGGGCCTCTCAGAGTGACCCATCCTGAAGTCACTCTGAGTGAGTGACTGAAGAAGGGTCTGAGGAAGAATTGACAGGTGGAGGAGGGTGCCCGGGTTAGGAGAGGAGCCATAGCATCTGTCTCCAAGCGTCCAGGGGGCTGAATGACCATCTGGAAGAGGAGAAACCAGCCTCGCTCTCAGCAGCGCCTGGGGCAAGACTGGGCAGGATGGGGTAAAGAAGGAAAGGCGGCCCTGCCTTCAGATCAGGGCGCACTCCGAAGGGGGAAGCTTCTCAGCACTGAAGAGCAGCCTTTGGGGGCCATGCCAGGGGCCACTACGTGGGGCAGCAGGGAGATGGTTGTTGAGGGGGCTGGACAGCTACGGTTCTTTAGATTCTGAGGCTGAGCCGGGGCTCTGACTCAGTGTTTCTGTCAGTGTGGTCTGGCTTATCTCAGGAGCAGCTGAGCCACTATTATTCCAGAAGAGCTTTTCTCTGAATGCTTCCCCACTGCTTGTCACTGCACATAAAATTCCTCCTTCATAGATCCATTCCTTTAGGTAACTTCAAGAACTTCCACCTAGACTCTAGATACCAGAGGAGTGGTTCCGGTGGGGGTGGGGGGCACCAGGTGCCTCTCACAGGCTAGAGCTGGAGCTGAGCAGGTCTCTTGGGGAGGGGCCACAGCGCAGGAGGCACTGATCCCTCCTCTGTGCCTGCTGTGTCCACATGCACTCACATTCCATGAAGACCTTTTGTAAACAAAAATCTTCAGCGGGAATAAAGGCAGAGCTGCCTTTTTGCAACTGTGGTCTGCAAGCTGAAGACCTTTCCTAGCACACAGCTTCAGTGTCCCAAGTCCGTGTTTCTCACACTGGGGTCTGTTGGTGTGTTCCAGGGAGTCCTAAAAAAGGATCCTCCTATGGTCTGAATGTTTGCGTCCCCCCCTCCCCCGCCCCCCTCCCCAAATTCATATGCTGAAATCCTGGCCCCTAGTGCCATGGTACTGGCAGCAGAGCAGGGTGGGGAGCTCAGAGAAGTGTTTAAGTCGTGAGGATGGAGCCGTCACTAGTGCACTTACGGCAGAGACCCCAGGGAGCTCTCTCCCCCTCTGCCGTGGGAGGGTGCAGTGAGCAAACAAGCAGACAGATGTCTCTGAACCAGGAAGCTGAAAGCTTGATCTTGGACTTCCCAGCCTCCAGAACTCTGAGAAATAAATTTCTGTTGTTTGTCAACCCCCAGTCTCTGGCATTTTGTTATAATAGACCAAATGGGCTAATACGGCTTCCCACCCTTTACTGGGTCAGCAGGTGGGGAAAGTCAGTGAGGGGGGTTAATCCTCACTCTGTCTCCTATACGCTGTGTCTGAACCACGGGCAGGTGGTTTAATCTCAGGAGGGTCCTCATCTGTAACAATTAGAAGATTCGTGATAACTGTCAGATGAGGCAAGGAGTCTAAGGCACCTGCTGAATTCCTGGCAGGTAACAGGAGTGACACTTGGGCCCCCAGCCCCCCGTACATGGGCAGACACAGGGAAGAGCCTGGGCAGCGGGGGCGCAGGTCAGTCAGCTCCAGAGGACTCACACACACGATCGTTTTGTACACACTGCCCAGTGCGGGCGGCAGGGGTGCACAGAGCCCTCCATCACGGGGCCCTCGCCATGGCCTGGCCCTGCCCTGGCCCTGCTGACCCCTTCGCTTGTGGAAGAAGCCCCCCCCCACCCCGATGGAAGGTTCCACTCGGCAGTGCACCTGAGGGCCTAGATCTGTTTCACTAGAGTTTTTTTTTTTTTAAAGTACTAATGGGAGCAAAATCTATTGTTTTTTTTTTCTGGGGGGCAGGGGTTGGGAGACCTTCAACTATACCTAACTTTTTAAGGGAAAAGATGTATTTCTCTTGCTAAAAGTAATGTGTGTAAGAAGTCAAAAGTACTCAAGAAGACAGAGCTGGACGTAGTTCGTCTGTCCCTCTCACGCTGTCGGCTTCAGAGGGAAGACAAGCTGGCCAAGGGAGTGGCAACCATGTGGCTGGGGCCCTCAGGGCGGCCCACAACGAGTAAGGCAGATGAGGAGGGAGCTGAAAATCGGCAGAGAAGCTCCTGCCTTTGAAGGGGAAACTCCCGCCTCGGTGCCCAGCCTCTTCTCCGGACAGCACCCCGGACAGCACCCCGTGGCCACAGCCCTGAAGGACCAGCCTGCCCCTACACTCCTGGGCCTGCGACAGAAAAGCAAACAACAGCTCTTTTCTCTAAAATGCCACGTGGTAGGGGAGGAAGCATTTCCGGCTGTGGGGAGGGGTGGACTCTCAGGGTCCCAGCGAGGAGGGTGAGGCCAGCCCCTCAGAGCCCCATCGGAGCTGGCTGACGCACCGCACACTGCCCTGTCCTGGAGAGCTGCCCTCTCCACCCTTTCCTCAGTGCCTCGCCCCACCCGCTCCTGTCGGGGTGGCCTCCTCCTCTGCCTGTCTGCGAAGGCTGCCTTCGGAGCAGGTGCTCTTCGGTTCTGGCAACACCCTTCCCCGAGACCTCTGCCCTGCTGCTCTCTGGGCACCCGCAGCCTTACCTGCAGAAGCCAGCATCCTCATTCGGCACAGGCGTGCTGGCACACTGGCTCATTCTCACCTGGGCTCTGGTGACCACCACTGTGAGGCCCAGAAACAGGGCTGCTGCCACCAGCCTCATTGTCCAGTCCATGGGCACCTGGAAGAGACAGAGCCTTTAGCGCTGCCAGCCCACCGAAAGGGGGGCTCTGCACGTGCCCACCCCAGGGGCCCACCTAGGGGGATAAGGACTTTAGTGAACAGAGGGAGGAGGGTGGGCGGCTAACCCGCCATGGGACCCAAGTTCTTGAGGAGGACCAGGGCTCACTCCTAACTGGATTCCCTTTGCTGCCTGGCCTGGGGCTCCTCCTCTGCCAGAACTGGGCTCTGCTGTCACCCAAGTCCTGGCTGCCAGGGCCCGGAGAAGGCTGAAAAGCAGAGTTGCTTGTGTAAGCCTCTTGCACAGCTCCTCCTCCTGTCTTCACCACCGGGCTCCATGTGGCCGTTGGTCAAGGGCCAGCCTGCTCCTTTGACTTTAAGGCAAAGCCCGGGAAGCTGGTGACCTCAGGCTTCGGGCTGGGGGTAGCAGTTCCAGGGCACTTGCAAGGGCCTAACTTTAGTTTGTTTTTCTAGAAGCAGGGCTTTGGCTGGGCTGCACCCCTTGGACAGCTCTGCTTTTCCTGCCCACACTTCCCTTGCCACCTGTTTGGACAGCCTTGGGGCTGCCTTTGGGTGGATGTGCTGGGGTGCAGCAATCCTGTGTCGGTGGGGATGCTGCACACAGGATAGTGCCGCCCCAGGTCCAAGGCCAGCTCTGAAGGGCCAGCTGAGGACAGGAGGGCCTGTCCATCTGACTATACCTTGCATCAGTGCTGATCTCAGCACTCTCCCAAAATAACAGTCTCTGGAGAAGAAGGCCGGTAGAGCTATAGGGAAAGGGGCAGCACGCACCAGCTCTGTGCTGGGAGGGAGGGGGCCTGGACTGAGCCACACTAAACCCTTCCTCAGGAAACAGGCCCATGGGGAGGAGTGCGTGTGACTCTGGTTGGAACCGGAGGTGGCAGGGGAAGATCCGAGGTGGTTCTCCCACAGCCTGTCCATGGGATCTGTTCTCTGTCTCCTCTGAGACAGGGGGTGTGTGGGGGCAGGCTGCCCCAGCCAGGAGGGAGGACCCCTGAGCTCTGCTCTGAGTTCCTTCATGCTGCTGGAGGGAAGGAGTGCTATGCCTCTAGCATGCACCATTTCCTCCTTTCAGAAACAAGTATTATGACCTTGTGGATCCAGTGCCTTGCTAAGGAAGTTGAGGTCATAGCTATAAAGTCTACACAGGTAAATCTTCAGAGACACTCTTTTCAGCATAGCTTGCTTTCCAGTTGAATTCCTGCTTCCAGGAAAAAGCCCTTCTTTGGGGCTACAAATTAAACACATTTCTTAATAATGAGACTCTCTGAAGTATGACAAGGGCTCCCCTACAGAGGACTCATTCTCAAGACCTCCCCAACTTGCAAGTGTCTCCTGGTAACCTCCTTCCAAGATGATTGTGGGCATTAAGCGAAATGAATGAGGCGAAGCACTTAGTGAGCTACCAGGCACCTAGGGAACAGCCAATAAAGGGTGGGTGGTGCAGGTATTCTTCCACAGGTCCGTCCATTCACTTGTTCATTCATTCACAATCCATCTCGCTGACAGGTATGTAGCGCCTCCCCCACACCAGGCCTGTGCCAGCCCCACGGTGTAGGGCCCCTGTCCTCATGGAACTCATGAGACAGCCAGAGCCAGAGGATGATGATGCCAGAATGATCATCCAAGGCCAAGAGATTCTTGTCTTCCAAATGGCAGCCACTAGAGAAGCCAGTACTGTTCCAGGCACCAGGAGGCCTCAGCACCCGCAATGTATGTATGTCTGGAGGAAGGGGCGCACCCTCAGTGCAGGACTGCTCCTGGTGAGCCCACTCACATGCACAATTCCCCCTTACTCAGGGTGCTCCTGGCTTTTATCATTGACTCCTCATGACGATCCTCTGAGGCACAGAGAGGTTGGCCAATCTGGACCTTGCTCACATGGGTAGTAAGTGGCTGACCTAGGATTTGAACCCATGCCATCTGGCTCCAGACTTTATGTTCCTTAACAATTCTGTTCTACTGCTCCCTCCTGCAGCTCTTGCTTGCTCCCCTTCTAGTCCCTTTTTTCTTGGGATAAGGCCCAGAATCTTCTAGTAGCTCACAGTACCCTGTGCAATTCCCTACAACTACTCCATCAAGCTCTTTTATGCCCCAGGGCTTTCCTGTGCTCTGCCCTACCTCCTACCTCCTTTTAGTAAATAGCCAAAGTGGATCTTAGTTATACAGGATTAGAGCACTACACTCCTTTTCTTACTGTTCCTATGTGTTTGTTTACTCTTTTCCTTGTTGTTCTTATATGAATTCTCTTTGTAATCATTTGCTTATAGTTCCAGGCAGCACTGAATCTGCATCTAGCATTCCAAGCACAGTGTCTGGCCTGTCTGGATGCTCAATAAATTCTTGTTTGAAAGTCTGACAAGCTTGCCATTCCTGTTTCCGATAGTCCTTGCTTTCACTTAATAGCTCATCTCTATAAACATTAGTAGGAAACTGACCGCTCAGGTTGTCGCCAGGCCCTGGATCCCTTTTTCTTATTTATCTAACCTTCTCTGGCTTGTTTTCACAGAGATATCTGACAGAAGGCAGCGGGTCTTGGTATTTTCAAATCTAATCTTTCTCCTGGGGATTCACAGGACTCTGCTACATACTCCGAGTCCCAGATCTAGGGCGAGGAAGCCCATGGGGGCACAACTGCCCCTTCCTATCAGCAGCCTATTTTACTCAACTGACTCACTTCTGGACACTCGTCTCTATATCCCTTGGTGCCCACCTCTGTAGCCCCCTTCTCTTGCTTCAATTACCTGGGCTGGGACGATCTTCTAATATCAACAGTCAGGCCAAGCCTATTGGCTTCTTTTTAAAAATATATTTTATTTATTCATTTTTAGGCAGACGGGAAGGGAGGGAGAAGGAGGGGGACAGAAACACTAATGGGTGTGAGATACATCGAATGGTTGTCTCTCACACACCCCCAACCAGGGACCTGGCCCACAACTCGAGGGTGTGCCCTGACTGGGAATCGAACCGATGACGCTTTGGTTAACAGGTCAGTGCTCATGCCACTGAGCCACACCAGCCAGGGCGGCCTATTGGCTTCTTGCAGGGCCTTGGACCCCTCAAGCCCCAGGACCTGCTGGACCAGTGCTGCTGGAACTCTTGAGCCTCCCTCTCATCCCTCCAGGCCTCCTGTGCCTGACACCACCCCTCCTCACTGCCCTCCAGGTCTTACCTCCTTTCTACAGACTCTTACACTTTCCTTTCCTCCTAAACCTTCCCATTTATGCCCTCTGATGGTAGTGCCCAAATTCCTCCTAGATGCCAGGGAAACCAACCATGAGATGTGATTGGACAGTTGGGAACTTTCATTCCTCAACCCCCCACCACCATACCCGCCTCGATGGAGAGGGGCTGGAGGTTGAATTAGTCACCTGCAGCCAGTGATTTAATTAATCATACCAATGTCATGAAATTTCTATAGAAGCCAAAAGGACAAGGTTTGGAGAGCTTCCAGGTTGGTGAGCATGTGGGGATGTGGGGGAAGCAGCAAGCTGAGTGTGCACGGAGGCTCTGTGCCCCCTACTGCATCCCTTCTCCGAGGTGTCTCTCCCATCTAGGCAGTAAGGGGTTTCCCTGAGTTCTGTGAGCCACTCCAGCAAGTTAAGCAAACCCAAGGAGGGCATTGTTGGAGCCACTAATCTATAGTCGGTAGGTCAGAGGCCCAGGTGACAACCTGGACTTGAGATGGGCCTTTGAATGGGGACAGTACGGGAGGACTGAGCCCATAACCTGAGGGGCGTAATGCTATTCACAGGTAAACAGTGTCAGAAGGTCCAACTTCATTCTTTCACATGTTGTTATCCTGTTGCTCCAGCAATATTTGCCTCCAGAACTGTGAAAAACTTAATTACTGCTGTTTAAGTCACCCAGTCTGCAGCATTTTGCTATGAAAGCCCTGGAAAACTAGTACATCTGTTTTGTTCCTGATCCTCAGGGAAAATTGTTCAGTCTTTCACCATGGAGTATGATGTTAGCGTTGGGAGTTCCATCTATGTCGTCAGCGGGGATGGTTCCTTCTGAGGCTCCTCTCCCCGGCTTACAGACGGCCACCTCATTACTGTGTCTTCACATGGTCTGTCCTCTGGTGTCTCTTTGTGTGTTCAAATTTCCTCTTCTTATAAGGACACTAGTAAGACAGAGTTAAGACCTATACCAATGGTCTCTTTTAACTTAATCACTTATTTAAAGGCTTTATCTTCAAATACAGTCACAATCTCAGGTACTGGAGTTAGGGCTTCAATGTACACATTTGGGAGGGTGGGTGGGTGGGGGAAGAGACACAATTCAGCCCATAACAGTAAGGATGCCCGCTTTTACTACTTCTATTCAACACACTTTTGGGAGTTCAAGCTAGAGCAATTAAATAAGAAAAACAAATTAAAGGCAAATTGAAAAGGAAGAAGTAAAATGATCTCTGTATGCAGATGACATGATTTTATATGTAGAAAACTCTAATAATTAAAAAACTAAAGCTAAGAAGTAAATTTAGCAAAGTTGCAGGCTACAAACAGACTCAGTTTTTATACATTGACAATGAACAATCTGAATAGAAATTAGGAAAACAATTCCATTTACAGTACAATAAAAAAGGAATCAAATATTTAGGAATTAACTAAGGAGGAGAAGGGCTTGTATATGGAAAACTACAACACATTCCTGAAAGAAATTAAAGAAGATACACATAAATGAAAAAATAAATGAAAAATCCTGTGTTCATGGGATGGAATACTTAATGTTGTTAAGATGTCAATATTATCCAAAGCAATCTACAGATTCAATGCTATCTCTATCAAAACACCAGTGATGTTTTTCACAGTAATAAAAAAAATCCATCCTAAAATCCATACAGAATCCCAATAGACCCCAAATAACTAAAACAATCTTGAAAAGGAGAATGAAGTTGGAGGAATCACAGTTCCTGATTTCAAAGGTTAATACAAATTTGTGGTATTAACCACAAATTGTGTTTTGTTAATCAAA